TTCAATTACTAATGCTATATTGTGATTATGTAGTTCAGTATAATTAATAGTACTAATTTAGTTATTGGTTCCATTTCCTTGAAAACATAGGAAGAGAAAACCCTCAAATTGTTATGCAGTAAATTTACATTAATTATTACTTCGGTTGGAATTTTTTTTTAAAGTATAAATCAAATTTTTTCCACCCAAAACTAATCTTTCGAATCAATGAAGATTATAATAAATGGAAAAACTCTAATCTATTTATATCTATTAAATCTCGTATATCAATTTTTTTTATGCCACATCATTTATTTTTTATATGATATCTTTTAAAATTCATTTCCAATTTTTAAAGGTTAAAATATATTATTACTCTTTATAAAAGATTATGAATTTGAATCCTCACACATGCAAAAATATAATATAATATTTATTTATTAACTTTTATTATTTCAAATAATATCATACTAGTTTACTCAAAATAAATTTATTATTATTATTTTAATACAATACATTATTAGATAAATATAATTAAATTTTAAATAAATTTCAACAAACTGTTTTTTAACATACAACTAATTTGCTTATATATCTTTATAAAATCTTGAATATTGTATCGGAATTTGTTATATTTATTCGTGTAATGATGTATATATATATATATATATATATATATATATATATATATATATATATATATATATATATATATATATATATATATATATATATATATATATATATATATATATATATATATATATATATATATATAAGAGTACAAGGATTTGTATACTAATTGCCTATAATTGTCTAGTCTATAATTGCCTATAATAGAAATCCTATTTTAAATACAATTATGATACTATTTCCTGATATACTATGATACTATTTTAAATACATGTTTACTTGGGTTTGACCTTCTTGAATGTCTTGATATTTGCTTTGACCTTCTTTAATATGAATAATAAGTGTTTATCCTTAACACCCCCCTCAAGTTGGAGGTGGGATTGAAATCTCAAGAACACCCAACTTGCCGAGTAGTCGTTTATAAGTATCGCCTCCAAGAGGTTTAGTAAATATGTCAGCTAGTTGGTCAAAAGATCGGAGATAAGAAGGGCTGATAAGACCTGATTTAATTTTCTCACGAACGAAATGACAATCAATTTCAATGTGTTTTGTGCGTTCATGAAAAACTGGGTTTTTGGCGATGTGAATAGCAGCTTGACTATCACAATGAACGGTGATCGGTTGAGGATGATCAATGCCGAGATCCGAGAGAAGATATTTTAACCATTGTAACTCGGAAGATAAAGTTGCAAGGGAACGATATTCTGCTTCAGCAGAGGAACGAGAAATTGTTGGTTGCTTCTTGGTTTTCCATGATATATGATTAGAGCCCAACATGGTAAAATAGTCGGTAGTGGAGCGACGAGTAGTAGGACAACCAGCCCAATCAGAGTCGGCATATCCAACTAAATTGAGGGAGCTAGAAGCCGAAAGAAATAAGCCTTTGCCGACACTCCCTTTAAGATATCGGAGAACTCGTGTGGCCGCTTCGAGATGAGTTGTACATGGAGATTGCATGAATTGACTGAGAGTGTTAACAGCGTATTGGATGTCGGGCCGTGTCACTGTTAAATATAATAGACGACCAATGAGGCAACGATAGATTGTCGGATCAGGAAGAGGGCTTCCTTCATTGGGCCGTAGACGGAGGTGTTGCTCCATAGGAAAATCTGATGGTCGGCAACCAGTCATACCAGAGTCGGATAAAATGTCAAGTGTATATTTCCTTTGGCATAAGAATATACCCTTTTTAGAACGGGATACTTCGATACCTAAGAAGTATGAAAGATTTCCAAGATCTTTGATGGAAAAGGCCTGGGCGAGAATTTTTTTGATGTCGGAGATAGCGTCTTCGTTATTTCCAGTGATGATGATGTCATCTACATAAACGAGTACAAATATAGTCGTGTGATTACTTTTGAAAGTGAATAGACTATAATCAGAGATGGATTGATGAAAACCCTTTTGAATGAGGGTGGTGGAGAATTTTGAGAACCATTGACGGGATGCCTGTTTGAGACCATAGATGGATTTGTTTAATTTGCAAACACATGGTTTTTCCTTCATGAGAGAAGCCGGGTGGTAATTTCATGTAAACTTCTTCATTAAGGTCTCCTTGAAGGAAAGCATTGTTAACATCAAGTTGATGTAACTTCCAGTTTTTAATGGCAGCAATGGAGAGAAGGAGTCGAACCGTGACAAGTTTGGCAACCGGTGTGAATGTTTCATGGTAGTCAATACCATGTACTTGATTGTAGCCTTTGGCAACTAAACGAGCCTTATATCGCTCAACGGTACCATTAGAGTGATATTTAATTTTGTATACCCACTTACAACCTATGGCGGTTTTGCCATTCGGGAGAGGAGATAAAACCCAAGTGTTGTTGGATTCAAGGGCGTGAATTTCTTTAGCCATAGCGTCACGCCATTCAGATGATTTGATAGCTTGAGAATAAGATGTTGGTTCTTTATTTTCAATGATATTAAGAAGAAGAGCTCGATGAGAAGTGCTCAAATTGGATAAAGAGAAATAATTCTTTAATGGGAAGACACTCTGTGATGTGACATTATTAATGTCACATACGTGGTCCGTGAGGCGAACGGAAGGAGTACGAAGACGTTGAGGATAACGACGTTCTGCAGGATTGATCGCTGTAGGTGAATGTTGTTGGGGAGTTTCTACAGGAATAGATGTAATATTGGATGGAATATTCGATGAGTTATCATCCCGAGGGGTGGAAATGGGCACAATCGTGTCATCATGATGACTAATGCCGGGAGAGATACTTGATGCAGGTGATAAGTTGGAAGAGGAATCATCAAATTCACAATCAAGGATTTGAGTGTTGATGCTTGTGTCGTTAGCGATGGAAGGAGTTTGAAAGTCGTGATATGGAAACATGGTTTCAAAAAATTGAACATCGCGAGAGACATATATTTTGCGAGTGTGCATATCGTAGATGCGGTATCCTTTTTGATTAAAAGGGTAACCGACAAAAATACCAGGTTTGGCTCGTTCATCGAATTTGTGTTGAATGTTCATATTTTTGGCAAAACAGAGACATCCAAACACACGAAGTGATGAGTATGAAGGAGGAGAACCGAGTAAAATTTGATGAGGAGATTTATATTTCAGGATGGGAGTAGGAAGTTTGTTTATGAGATAAGCGGCAGTGAGCACGCATTCACCCCAAAAGGAAAGGGGTAATTTCGCTTGGAAACGTAATGTTCTTGCGATGTCGAGAAGATGACGATGCTTGCGCTCCACAACGCCATTTTGTTGAGGGGTTGCAACGCAGCTGCGTTGATGAATAATGCCATGATCATGAAACCATGTTTGGATTTGTTTGCACAAAAACTCCGAACCATTGTCGGAACGAATAGCTTGAAGTTGGGGAAGAAAGATGCCCCCATCGCCGGAATTAATTTTATTAATTTTAGTGTTGAATTGGCGATTGATTTGATTAAAAAAATGAATTAGCATAGTAAATGTTTCAGATTTATGTTGCATGAGATATAACCAAGTACATCGTGAATAATCATCGACAATTGTTAAAAAATATCGTGATCCATTGTGTGATGGAGTAGAGAATGGACCCCAAATATCGACATGAATTAACTCAAAACAATGAGATGAATATGATGTTCTTGAAGAAAAAGGTAAACGTGATTGTTTTGCACGCGGACAAACGTCACAAATAAAATCTTTATTCACATTAATATTTGGAGAGTTCTTAACAATAAATTGAAAACGGGAAATAGATGGGTGACCGAGGCGTAAATGCCATAGGTCAGCCTTATTACATTGCTTAGAACTAAAAAAAGAACTTGGTGGATGGTCAACACAATAGTGATCGTTGTCATCTTTATTTAATGGTGGTTCTTCATTCAAGTAGAAGAGTCCATTCCGAGCACTACCCCGACCAATCGTCTTCTTCGTTGCGCGGTCCTGAAATATGCAACCAGAGGATGAGAAAATAATATCACAATGTATTGATTTTGTTAATTGTGAAAGAGATAATATATTATATTTGAAAGATGGAATGTGATAAACATTCGTGAGTGTAAGTGACGGCGAGCAATGAACATTGCTGATGTGTTTCACGGACGCGTGAGAGCCGTCGGGTAATTGAACAAGTATATTTTTATGAACAGGTGAATATGAAGAAAAATAAGAAAGAGATGTGCATATGTGATTTGAAGCGCCAGAATCAATAATCCAAGAAAAAGGAACACAAGTAAAAGCGGTACCTGCTAAATTCACAGATGATCCCGTAGTGTCCTCTTTGGCTAAGAGAGATGGGAGTTTTTGGTATTGTGCGCTTGAGAGTTGAGTAGCGGAAGTAGATGAGAATGGTTCAGATTTCTTTGGTGGCTTATTTGGAAAGCCATGAATCTGATAGCAAGTAGCAATAGTGTGACCATGCTTATTGCAATTCTCACAGTACGGATGCTGCCGTTTGCCTTGAGTGCGATACTGCACTTTAGAAGCTTGAAGCGCTGCTGATTCCTCAGCAGGGAGGGGTCGAAAATTAATCTCTTGTTGTTTCTCTTCCTGGCGTACTATGTTATAAATACGCTGAATTGAAGGAAAGGGATCCATGAGGAGAATTTGGCTGCGGAACGACCGAGAATCGGTCATGGACGCCCTGAAGAAATTCCATGGCCCAGTCCTGATTTTGTTGATCAATAATACTCTTGGCATTACCGCAGATGCACGGATTGATAGGTGCGATGGAATGGAGTTCATCCCAGAGAGATTTCAACTGAGTAAAATACAGAGATACAGACATGCCCTCTTGTTTTAGGGCAGAGATAGATTGTTTCAATTGATAGATTTTCGGAGCGTTGGACTGAGATAAACAATCCTTGAGATCGGTCCAGATTTGTGCCGCCGTTTCAGCATAGAGAATGCTAGGGCGAATCTCGGTTGAAACCGAGTTGAGAATCTAGCTTGCAACCATATCGTTGCAGTGGCACCACTTAGAGATATCATCGGCCTTCTTTGGACAAATTAGGGTTCCATCGACAAACCCGAATTTGTTTTTGGCACGAAGTGCCATTGTTACGGCTCGGCTCCATGAACCATAGTTGTCGACTGTGAGCAGAGGTGTAACAAGGACAGTTGCAGGGTTGTCGGAATGATGGATGACACATGGATCAGTGTTGGAGGTGGTGGCGGATTGATCATTGGTGGGTGGTGGAACATCAGACATGATGATGCGAGTGAGTGAGTGAATCGATGAAGAAGGATTGAAACAGGATGATAAACACAAACTGAGGGATATTAACCAGAGAAAAACTTATACCATATAAAATCTTGAATATTGTATCAGAATTTGTTATATTTATTCTTGTAATGATGTACATATATATATAAGAGTACAAGGATCTGTATACTAATTGCCTATAATTGTCTAGTCTATAATTGCCTATAATAGAAATCCTATTTTAAATACAATTATGATACTATTTCTTGATATACTATGATACTATTTTAAATACATGTTTGCTTGGGTTTGACCTTCTTGAATGTCTTGATATTTGCTTTGACCTTCTTTAATGTGAATAATAAGTGTTTATCCTTAACAATCTTATTTTCGTAAATTTTATAGAATATTATTCATATTTGTCTTAAAATAATTTCTTAATTATAAAATGAAAAAAAATATTTTGATCATTTTTTTACTTAGTATTTCAAATATAATTTCATAACTTTTTAATTTAAAAAAAATAAACGAGATGATATTTATTCATCGTATACTTTAAATAAATAGTATTGTCATTTAAAGACCATATTGGATTTAACGTTTAATTTTAAAATTATATCACAAAAATTACATATATTTTTTTCTTGCGTATTGATAAATAGTTTGAAGTTTAACCATTTACAATAATAATTCATTCTTATTTTAAATAGTATTTGAAATAAAGAGATTTTTATCATTTTTAATTAAATCTCATAACAACACAATAATTACTCCAACTAAATATATTTTTAAACTTTCGAAAATAAAAAAGATGCTCGGATTCACACACTTTGAAACAATTTTTTTTCTCGAAATCATAGCAACAAATTATTTAAAAAATAATTTTAATGTTAAAGTATATATTCCATAATTTTTCAAAATTAAGTTACTCTTGATTGATTTAAAATTAGATTAGAAAATGTCACACTCTTACCGAATCTATATATTTCATCTCTACATTTTTGATATAACAATAATTTCTTAATTATTAAAACAGGAAGAAAAGATGTTTTGATACATTTATTTACTTAGTTTCTCTAAAATAATTTTAAAATCTTTCAAGTTTAAAAAAATATATAAGATAGTACTTCTTCATCATATATTTTACAATAAATAGTACTATCATTTAAAGACTGTACTGGATTTAATGTCTAATTTTAAAATTACATTGTAAAATTATATATATATATATATATATATATATATATATATATATATATATATATATATATATATATATAATATATATATATATATATATATATATATATATATATATATATATATATATATATATATATATATATATATATATATATATATTTGAAAGAAAGAGATTATGAATCATTTTTAACTAAATATCCTAACAACACAATAAATATTCGAACTAAATATATTTTTAAATTTTTTGAAAATAAAAGAGATGTTTGGATCCACAAACTTTAAAATATTTTTTGTTTTCTTGAAATCATACAACAAAAACTAACACTTAAAAATACTTTTAATGTTAAAGTATGTATTTCGCAATATTTCGAGATTAAATCACTCTCATTTGACTTAGAAATATAATAGAAAATGCAACACTCTTTAACGAATTTATATATTTCATCTCTACATTTCTCTTAAAATATTATACAAATAAATTAAAAATAAATAATAAAATTCTCAATTTCTCATATATAACTAAAATTTGACGTTATAAACATAAATTTATAAAATTATTGAATGTTTTATTCGATAATAATTGAAAATAAAATTTAACTTTTATTTAAGATTAAAAATAATTATATATCTTTATCAATTTATAATTAAATATTTAAAAGAGACAAATTTTTATAAATACATCAGAGTCAAAATAAAATATAAATTATTATCTTTTAAAACTATTTAAATTTATAAAATAAAATCTTGTACGTTATTTTCAACTTCCAAACACAATTTAAAAAAAAATAAAATATACATTTTTATTTGTGATTGATTCAAATTTTTATCTCAACTATAATTCATATTAAATTATTATAATATAAATTTGTATCTATATTTATTAAATATATTTTTTAATATAATTAAAACTTGATATAAAACAAATAAAAATTAATTAATAGTTGTGCATCGCGCGAATTTAAATTTAATTTAACATTATTGTGTCCTATTCAAAATCTTGATTAAGTTGAAAAAGATTTGTTAAGTTGGTAGAATTCAACTTCGTTATTTTTTTAATCCACTTTTAATTAATAAAATTTATCACTTCTCCTATTGTTTTTTTATGTAGTAAATTGCTGAAAATACTAACATGACCAAGTCATATTAAGAGTACATTGATCTTTTCAAGAAAAAAATATCACAACTGATGCATCTAATAATGGTTGTTTTCTTCTTCTATATTGGCAATTTATATTTGTTAAAAGGCAACTAATAAATCACCTAGGCATATATTAGGTAAGACACACCGACAGAGTTATTGCAAAAGTCATAGAAAAATATGGTGAGAACAAAGCGGGCATAGTAAGTAGATGATGATGTAAGTTTAGAGTGTGCAATTTAAAAGTGGATGATCCTTGTATAAGTCTATCATTAAGATTTCTCTTATAATTTTCTAACAATAACAAAAAAATATGTTATTTCTTTGATTTCCAAAAACTTCAATAATTATAGTAAACTTTGAATCACACTTATTCAAAGGATTTTTTCCAACAAATAAAAAGACAATCCTTTCTGTTTGCAAATACATGTAATAAGTATAACAATTTTCTTACAAATAAAAATCACCACACACACTTGGTGAATATTATAACAAATTGATAAAAATGAGTATCGGTAAACTTTGTTGCAAATTTGATAATAGTTGAAAGTTTTAGTGTTTTTATGATATATTGAAAATTCAATATTCTTCTTCAATGAACAAATCAAAATGATATAAATATTTAAGTGCTCAAGTGTTTTCATTAAAAAAATTTACATATGAATGAAAATTGTACACGAAAAAGTTTCTCTGTTAAATATTAGTGACACTTAAAAATAGATAAAAATTATTCATGAAGGTGAAAAATTTCTGTCAAATTATTGAACTATTTATACATCACAAGACGCCATTTTGCAATGCTTGAAAATAATCAGAAATAATTTGCAATGCTTTAGGAAAATGATTCATAAAATAATGCTATGAAAAGGTATCATGCTATTTCATTTTTTTTTCAAAAAGCTTTGGTGGTAAATCAATTTATCTTACCAAGTTAATCGATTAACCATTCCTCAACGTGAAAAAAATATGTGATAAAATAAGGTGTAACGTCTCCTATGATAAAATAGTCTATCTATCTATCTATCTATCTATCTATCTATCTATCTATCTATCTATCTATCTATCTATCTATCTATCTATCTATCTATCTATCTATCTATCTATCTATCTATCTATCTATCTATCTATCTATCTATCTATCTATCTATCTATCTATCTATCTATCTATCTATCTATCTATCTATCTATCTATCTATCTATCTATCTATCTATCTATCTATCTATCTATCTATCTATCTATCTATCTATCTATCTATCTATCTATCTATCTATCTATCTATCTATCTATCTATCTATCTATCTATCTATCTATCTATCTATCTATCTATCTATCTATCTATCTATCTATCTATCTATCTATCTATCTATCTATCTATCTATCTATCTATCTATCTATCTATCTATCTATCTATCTATCTATCTATCTATCTATCTATCTATCTATCTATCTATCTATCTATCTATCTATCTATCTATCTATCTATCTATCTATCTATCTATCTATCTATCTATCTATCTATCTATCTATCTATCTATCTATCTATCTATCTATCTATCTATCTATCTATCTATCTATCTATCTATCTATCTATCTATCTATCTATCTATCTATCTATCTATCTATCTATCTATCTATCTATCTATCTATATCTATCTATCTATCTATCTATCTATCTATCTATCTATCTATCTATCTATCTATCTATCTATCTATCTATCTATCTATCTATCTATCTATCTATCTATCTATCTATCTATCTATCTATCTATCTATCTATCTATCTATCTATCTATCTATCTATCTATCTATCTATCTATCTATCTATCTATCTATCTATCTATCTATCTATCTATCTATCTATCTATCTATCTATCTATCTATCTATCTATCTATCTATCTATCTATCTATCTATCTATCTATCTATCTATCTATCTATCTATCTATCTATCTATCTATCTATCTATCTATCTATCTATCTATCTATCTATCTATCTATCTATCTATCTATCTATCTATCTATCTATCTATCTATCTATCTATCTATCTATCTATCTATCTATCTATCTATCTATCTATCTATCTATCTATCTCTATCTATCTATCTATCTATCTATCTATCTATCTATCTATCTATCTATCTATCTATCTATCTATCTATCTATCTATCTATCTATCTATCTATCTATCTATCTATCTATCTATCTATCTATCTATCTATCTATCTATCTATCTATCTATCTATCTATCTATCTATCTATCTATCTATCTATCTATCTATCTATCTATCTATCTATCTATCTATCTATCTATCTATCTATCTATCTATCTATCTATCTATCTATCTATCTATCTATCTATCTATCTATCTATCTATCTATCTATCTATCTATCTATCTATCTATCTATCTATCTATCTATCTATCTATCTATCTATCTATCTATCTATCTATCTATCTATCTATCTATCTATCTATCTATCTATCTATCTATCTATCTATCTATCTATCTATCTATCTATCTATCTATCTATCTATCTATCTATCTATCTATCTATCTATCTATCTATCTATCTATCTATCTATCTATCTATCTATCTATCTATCTATCTATCTATCTATCTATCTATCTATCTATCTATCTATCTATCTATCTATCTATCTATC